GCGGGGGGACAGCAGTGACTCACAGCTGGGCTGGGACAGGACAGCCCCCTACTTCAAGGTACAATGGGAGAGACATGGGGATCCCACACCTACCCCACGTGAGGTAGAGGGTGGTGGCTCGGGCCTGGGGGGGGCCCTGCAGAGCAGCGTACAGGGGCTGGGGGGGGGCGGTGAGCCCAGGGTGGGAACCGGATCCTCAAAAAGTGGCGTCTGCCTCTACATCCCATTCAGCAGACAGTCCTCTTCTTTCTGGGCTAAAACCTGCAAAGAGCTGCAGACCTAGGTTGTGAGGCCTTGAAGAAATAAAGAGCTGGAGGCTTTGCCTGGGAATGCAATATTAATTCAGCGCCTGCGGTCGATGGGCACTGCATTATTCATTTCCAGCATGCCATTGCCTGACCCTCCTGCCTTCCCCAGGCTCCAGTGCTCCCCACACCACTGTGCAAACCACAGTCTGCTGCAGAGCTCGGCCTTGACGCAGGCAGAGAGGCAGCAGGAGTGTGGGGGGTCTGCTGCTAAGGGGCCTGGGAGAGACAGAGGTGAGAGAGAGGTCAAGGTGCCTGGAGAGGAGGGGGAGAAGAAGGAGGACATGTGTGCACGCAAGAACAAGCGTGTGCATCACAGGGGAGGGAGGCTGCTTGCAGCTGAGCAGTGAGACCTCTGTATGACTGCTCTCCTATTGAAGGGGACCTTGCAAACGGGAGCAGGGTTAAACTGGTTGGGTTGCCTGTCCTGAGCATGCCTGCAGAAGCCCAGGGAGAGGGGGAGGCCTGGTCTCGGGACCAGCAGGAGGGAGGGAGGTGAGGGGGCATGGTACTGGTATGCAATTGGGGTATACACATAGCAGGGAACAAAGGGGTGCACGCACATCAGGCTCAAAACAGCAGTGACTCAGTTTTGGGACTCAAACCCCCTGTACCCACGCCCATCTGGCTGAAGCTTCATCTCTTTCAGGTTGCACAAAAGGCCTGAGCACAACCCCCTGCCATTTCCCCATTACATTCCCCATTCCCAAAATGCTGCCCGTTGATAAGGGGGGAGAGTTTGCAGCACCATGAGAGCCTGGTGCCCTACAGAGGGAACTCCATATCATACTTTATCAGCAGGCTGAGCTCAGGGCCCTGTGGAGACGGAGAATTAAATAAAATCAGCACGCATGCTCTAACAAGGTCTGGTGGCAGTCCCATAGAAAATGCATTTCTCCCCTGCCCTTTGCACCCCATAAAGCACTGCAACCCTGGATTAACTTCTGTATTCTGCAGTTGCTCTGATTCAGGTCAGCAGCATTATCACCCATAGCTTGCTGCCTGACTGCCTAACAGCAGGTAGCATTTTTGGAGCACGTCTTTGCAGACATGACCCAGTGCTCCAGCACCCAAGCACAGAACAGTCTCCTTTTGGCTGGGGTCTCTCCTGGGCTGCAGGCAGCTGGTGCTCAGTTCAGCAAGTGGCCTGACAGCAGGACACGCACAATTTCTCATCTGGAGCAAAACCAATGCAAACAAAGCAATCACAACAGATGCCCAGGCCCCACTTGTTCCTGCTTGAGTGCTAAATCGCTACCCCAGCACACTTTGGAAGAACAAATACAGAGATCCCAGCCTGCTGTGTGTTCTCTGCTGTGTGAAAATTGCAGCTGATGAAGGAAAATTACAGGGTTATGTCACCTGCTCTGCCCCTGGCCTCAGCCCCAGGCAGACACAGGCCTTGTCACCAAGCTGCTGGCCTCTGCCACCTCGGCTTGCCCACTGCCCGATGGCCTCTCTGGGGCAAGATGCAGCTCCCAGGGCAGGTTTGGGAGCAATGGGCAAAGCCTTAGAGGCAGCCCTGGGGACCAAGCAAGCCTCACAAGCAAGACCCAAGAGTGAGAAGGAGAGAAAGGAGCACTGGAGCTTCATCTGGCCTCTGTCCTCTTTCCCAAACCAGCTCCCGGTAGCACAGGTTGCCAGGGTCTTGGGAAACCCCCGCCCCCACCTCAGTGGGGAATTACAGCAGGCAGATCTGCCGGGGTGACACTGCTGGACAATGCAGAGGAAGCAGGAGACCTCAGGCACCCAGCAATGCTACATTTCCATGGGCAGCAGAGAGCAGGAGCTGCAGCGCTCCAGCGCCCAGACTGAGGCTTCAGGGAACACACAGCAGTGTCTGGTCACAGGGAGGGAGGACAGGGGTGGGCTGCAGCTCCCAGATGAGAAAACAAGAGCCAGAAAAATATCCACTCCACTGCAGGACACCTTTAATGACAGAGGAGCTAGTTGCCAGTGCTGCTGCCAGCATGCTGCAACAGCCACAGCCTCCCGCAGGCTGCGATGCCTTAAGGACCAGTCCTGCTTTTGGCAGCGTGCTGCTCAAGACTTTTCCCCTGGCACAGGCACTTGTCTTGGTCGTGGGCAGGAAGGACACTTGGAGGAGGTGTTTGCTGGCCTCTCAAGGCAGCGCTCCGTGCTTCCGTCCCACCTCAGTGAAGGCTTCCACGCAGCGGTCAATGTCCTCGTCGCTGTGCACAGCTGAGATCTGGACCCGGATGCGAGCCTTTCCCTTGGGGACCACGGGGTAGCTGAAGCCAATGACATAAATGCCTGGGGAGGAAATGCACGGAGAGACAGAGCTGGCTGAGAGGGAAGGAGGCTGAAGTGGTATTGGGTGATAGAAAGGCTTGTGACCCTCCCTCCTCTCTCAGTAACCATTTCCACACTCTGGAGTTTTCAAGTGGCATCTGTTCCCAAGGATGGAAATGAGGGTTGGGGCCAGTGATGGGGATGGAGTCCAGCACGGCAGGACAAGAGGGCTAATGTAACTGCCCAAAAGAGAAAGGAGGTGAAGCCAGCAATGTCTGGGGGAGACCAGGAGCACAATTGCAGCTGGAGGGTACAGAAATAACAGATTTCATGCAGGAACAGCCTCCAGAGGAGTGATGGTGGTGGCATCACTACCGGCTGTCCCTTCCTTCAGGGCATGTGTCTGCATCCAGAGCTCCCTCCCTAGTTTACCTCTGTTCAGCATATCCTCAGCCATCACTGCAGCCAGCCGGGCGTCCCCGAGCATGACAGGACAGATGGGGTGGTCTTTCCCCGAGATGGTGAAGCCGGCCGCTGTCATCTTGCTTCTGAACCTGGTGAGGAGAACAAGAGGATGAGTAAAACCTCCTCACCCCTTTTCCTGGGGACCGCTGCCTTGCTTTCCCCTGGGAGTCTGTGCATCTCCTGTGCAGGGAACGGATGTCTCTTTTTGGGGTGACCTGTTGCCATTTCCCACTCAATGCCAGGGGGACTGCAACTGTTTGAGGGACAGATGCGCCCCAGCTTGCAGAGCATCCAGCTGTGACATCTGCCTATGCATTTGTCTGTCACACACAAGCACATCCTGTGGTTTCCCCTGAGCGCCCTCCAGCTGTCACTTGCACATGTTCTTCAGGGCTATCACCGAGGGGGATGCGTGTGTGAATAAACACACATGGGCAACTTATTCCCAGTGAACCTCAGCCCCTGCTCCCACCAAATATGGGCCCCTCACCGTTGGGTCTTGGCAGCCATGGACTGTGCAATGGCATTGCTCTCCATGAGGAGGTCCAGGGCCTTGGATGCACAGCCCACCACAGCGGGGGGCAGGCTGTTGGAGAAGAGGTACGGGCGGGAGCGCTGGCGGAGCAAATCGATGAGGGGTTTGGGGCCAGTTGTGTACCCACCTGCAGATGGAGGACAGAGAAATGGACAAGGCACCACTGGGGAGACCTGCTCAGAGGGGGGGCCTCTTGATAAAGCCAAC